ATAGCTTTTTTATGCCTAATTTATTGGTGGGGGACTGAAATGAGATTAAATGACTCCCATCACACATGGGATAAATGACATAATTATAGAGTCCAGATCTGATTACTTTTCTCCCTGTATCCCCCAACAGAATAGTCTCTGGGACCAAATAAGAGCACAATAAATGCTGTTGGCCTAGCAGAAGTTAAAGCTCCCCCCCTTTTTTTTCTTTAAAAGCTTAAAATACAAGAATTAAAAGGTTCTAATGAAAACAATTTATAAAACATTTTGCCCTAGGGAAACAATAATTTGCAGTTAAACCATTGAGTCCAGGCCCCTTTCAGTAAAAGCTGGACTGTTGAATTAAATACATTCCATACTTTATTCTGCCAAAAAAAAAATTTGGGGGGGGGGCAGTTACCATTATGAAGATCATTGCCCATGCTGTTCTCTCTATAAGACGTTAGTAATCTTTTAACAATCCAGAAGATAAATTTTGTCAAATAAAAATGAGTTTTGATGTCAAAGAATGGCCTCTATAATCAATTAAGATATAATAATAAGCAGGCTTGCTGTTCTTTTTTAACTGCCTCCCCTACAGATGTATTAGCAACTTTGGTGGCAAGAAGTAAGATCTGCATAAGTTACTTGCCATTTTGTAAGTGATACTATGAGAAGGGCTAGTATTGTGAAGCAATCAGTTTTACAGACATGCTGTATACCTAAGGGCAACTGTTGCAAGTAAAGAAATAGTATTCAGGTGATAGGATATTTTAAGGTGATAAGGTAGAATTTTAAAATTTCACAATACAGATAGACTACAGGGGAGGACTGCAAGAGAGACCATATTGTGGAGACGTTCAAGTTCACCTTCCAGCTCTACCACTTTGTGACCTGTTACTTGTAGCTTCGTTAAGCCTGTTTTCCTCATCTGTAAAATGGGAGTGGTAAAACAGTGCCTACATCATGGGATTGTTCTCGCTTTGGAACCAAAGAATCCAGATTAAGTATTCTGAAAAGTTTGGCTATGTGAGAAATGAAGCTTCTTGTGTTGTAAACAAATTGACTGGACTTTTCTTAGAAATTGTGGTGGCACTTGAATATAATTTTAATAGTAATTAACTTCAAAATAGAGATGGCCACCCAATGAGAAGGTGTGCCCCACCCAGATTGTTCTGATTCTAGTCAGACCTTTTGGGTTTGGATTTTAAATTCTTATCCTTCAGGAAACTTGGGAAGGATTTTTAAAGTGCTTTTGGTGGTTCTTTTAATCAGGGCCTACTTTTTCTGCAGCCCTGTTGCCTTCCTGAGCTAGAGTATTACCTGTTTTTAGGTGGTCCTGCAGCCAGTGCTGCTGCAGAAGGTCTCACTCATTCAAAGTTGCCTTGATTCCCTGTTGCTCTTCTGACAAGTTGTTGGGTATATACAGTGCCTGCCTGATGCCTTGATGCCTTTTCATTCTCACTGGCACTTGGTTTTCTCCTTTGGGAAGGATAGAATTGGGTAATTATAATGAGTGTAGATAAAGTCAAATGGCCTAGGTCCTTAGGCTGGCTCTACCACATACTAGCTGTGTGCGCGCCACATACAAGCAAGTGCATCTCTCAGTAGCTTTATCTACAAAATAGGGAAAAGTATCAGAGTGGTCACAGTGTTTGAGATACCACCCATGTATGTGCACAACATCTGATTCATTGTAAAAATTCAATAAATACTAGCTGCCATTTATATTTGAATTTGAAGTCCAGTGATTCAACCAACCACTATTCCCAAAGTGAGTAGAGATGATGCTATCTGTTGAGTCTGTGCTGGCAATATACTTTTTCCTGGATATCCGAAATGAAGATTAACAAATCAGAAAAGAAACGTGTGTTATTTGCTGAGCTTGAGCACAATTATAATACCTATTAACTTGCTGAACTCAGTAAACACTGGACTAATAACCTTCCACTAAGCTCCATCTACTCATTGGAAAGACTTACACAATCTGTAGTTTAGGGCCCCCGTGCTCTCAGTCCCCCATGAGTCTGTCCTTCCCAGAAAGACCAGTGCAGGCCAAAATGTCCCCTTTTAAACCGATTCTTACGGAGTACCACAAACCTGCCACCAGGTGGTGATATTGTATAAAATGAGAATTGTCAGTATTTCAGTATCGAAGTAAAAGATAGTCAAAGCATTTGATGAGTCATATCAGAAATCAGCTTACCATTCACTAAAGTTGTCTGAAGGATTTTTAAGTTCTCAAGGCTTTTATTTAAAGGGGGTCCTTTGAACCTTGAAGTATCAGATAACCAAAGTGGTAGACATAAAGTTCATATCATCACCTAGGAAAAAAAGTGAAATCTAGCCGAAACTGGTTTGGCTTAGTGGATAGAGCGTCAGCCTATGGACTGAAGGGTCCCAGGTTCAATTCCAGTCAAGGGCATGTACCTTGGTTGTGGGCACGTCCCCAGCAGGGGGTGTGCTGTGCAGGAGGCAGCTGATAAGATGATTCTCATCGATGTTTCTAGCTCTCTATCCCTCTCTCTCCCCCTTGTAAAAAATCAATAATATATATCAATAATATATATCAATAATATAAAAGTCGTCTTATACGCCGGAAAATATGGGTAATAGCTATGCAACCTGCAACCTAATTGTGCTATCTTTAATTTTTATTATTTTATCGATAAAAATCAATATATATTGATTTTATTGTTGATAAATAATAAAGTGAAATCTAAAAGATGTAGTTTTTGTTTTTTTAAAACACCCTTGAGAAAGATAAGTTATTAGGCTTGGGTTCAAATTTTTGTTCTTTGACTACCCATATTTTCCGGCGTATAAGACGACGCCCTAATTTTACAGTTAAAACATAGGTTTAGCCGAAACCGGTTTGGCTCAGTGGTAGAGCTTCGGTCTGTGGACTGAAAGGTCCCAGGTTCGATTCTGGTCAAGGGCATGTACATTGGTTGCGGGCACATCCCCTGTAGGGGGTGTGCAAGAGGCAGCTGGTCAATGTTTCTCATTGATGTTTCTAGTTCTCTATCCCTCTCTCCTCCTCTCTGTGAAAAATCAATGAAATATATTTTTAAAACAAAACAGGTTTAGGCCTATATTCGCTGTATAAGACTACCCCCCACTTCAAAGAAAAGACTTTGCCGTCAAGATCTGCAGGTAATTTTTGTGCAATTTTGGTCTTTTGCCCCTGATTTTCGGTTGACTTTTTCGGTTCAAAAGTCGTCTTATACACCGGAAAATATGGGTAATAGCTATGCGACCTGCAACCCAATTGTGCTATCTTTAAACTGTTCATACTGTAGTTGACCCTTGGTGTTTTTGTGTGGTTTTTTTTTTAATCCTCACCCGAGGATATTTTTCCATTGATATTTAGAGTTGGAGAGGAAAAGACAAATTTTGATGTGAGAGAAACAATGATTGGTTGCCTCCACAATGAACCCAACCAGGGACCGGGTAGGGGAAGAGCCTGCAACCAAGGTATGTGCCTTTTACCTCAATCAAACTTGGGACCCTCAGTCTGCAGGCCAACACTCTCCACAGAGCCAAACAGGCTGGGGCGACCCATGGTGATTTTAAGCAGTTTAGATGAACATCAGTTTTTTGAAAGTTTACACCTCATGGACTTGTTAGAGGAATGAGATAAGATGTATCTAAAGCACTAAATGCTTAGTACACAATAAGTGGTAAACATTGGCTGTCATTATCCTAAATCTTGTTTTTTCCTTCTACAGCTTATTTTCAGTGACTTTGTAAAGACGGAAGGCTCATGGTACAAATTGTTGTCTCCAGGTGAGTACATTTTGAGACACTTTATGTAGTTTGAATGCTTAGGGCTATATAGATCTGATATTCCCTTGCAAGAATCAGGGTCCTCGGGTGCATCTTGTACAGATGCTTGCATTTCAATCTCTAGTTCGGTGCTTAGCACTGCCTAGTTTCCCAAGAACTTGTGCTCAACAGAGTTCCTTTGGGCCTTGAATGGTGGTATAGGATACCATTCATCCTTTACCCCCTCAAAAATATTGTAACCGCCAGCCTTTGCTTGCAGTGCTGGGGCTGGAGGCCTGGCAGAATGGGTGCTGATGGAGCTACAGGGGGAGATCGAGGCTCGCTACAGCACCGGATTAGCTGGAAACCTCCTGGGAGACCTACATTACACCACTGAGGTGAGGGGCTTTTCTTTCCTTGCCTAACGCCTCAGGAAAGCAAGCTGCACCGAGGTGGCGCTCCCAGGACCTAGAGGGAGGACTGCCCTCAGGTCTGTTACCAAGGGCTAGCTAATCTGCTAGATTATCTGCTTGTTCTCCCCCCTTTAGCTTTAGGAACTCTTGAAAGGTCACAGTTCTTTCCCCCCCCTCTCCCCCCGGAGAGAGGAAGGGAGAGGGAGAAGGAAAGGGGGATAGAGAGAGAGAGAGAGAGAGAGAGAGAGAGAGAGAGAGAGAGAGAGAGAGAGATAGGAACATCAATGATGAAAGAATCATTGATCGACTGCCTCCTGCAAGTTCCCTACTGGAATCAAGTCCACAACTAGGCATCAAACTGTGACCTCCTGGTTCATAGGTTGTGCTCAACCACTGAGCCACACTGGCCAGGCAGAAGGTCACAGTCTAAAAGTGAAAATTCTCTTACCAGGGCCATAAAGGGCATGAGGGTGGGTTGTCCACTGTAGCTATATGCAGTGTAATAGCCAAACCAGGGAGTGCAGGTACCATTACTGCCTGCCAAGAGCATCTTCAGGAAGCACTCGAGTGCTAAGATCTTGCCCTGAATCTCAGGCATCTTATTCTTATTCTGCCAAAGGGAATTCCTGTGCTGATCGTGGGGCATCACATCCTGTACGGGAAAATCATCCACCTGGAGAAACCTTTTGCTGTCCTAGTCAAACACACTTCTACGGAGCAGGACTGTGATGAGCGTGGCTGTACGACTGGCACCCAATACTTGGTGACAGCACTCATCAAAAACAAGATTCTTTTCAAAACTCGCCCCAAGCCCATTATCACCAACGTACCCAAGAAAGTATGAAAGAGCCCCGGATTTTCCCGAGAGAGCGGCCGACTCCTTGGACTCGTGCTTCCCTGCCACCTCGAGGACGGCTGGACAGTTCCCTGGGACCACAGGGGGGGCAGGGTCCTGGTCTGAACACTCGCCACCCCCTGGGCATGGCCTCAGATTCCTTCCTTAGGGCCACTGGTTCTCTTGGTGGAAATCTGGGCCCGTTTCCAAGGAACCCTTCTTCTTTTCCAACTTCATCAGGCTCGTTGGCTTCAAATCCAGCACCTTTCCATGGCGGTGCTCGTGACTCAAGCATGGCTGCTTTTCCCAGGGGGATGAATCCCTCTGCCGCAGGCTCGGTTTCTTTCTCGAGGCCAGGTGGCCTCTTGGGCCCAGGGCCAGGGCCAGCTCTAAACCCTAGGGCAGGGGCTCTTCCGGGCCCAGGGCCTATGTCCAACCCGAGGTTAGGGGGTCTCCCAGGGCCAGGTCCTATGTCCAGCTCAAGGGCAGGTGGTCTCCTGGGAACAGGACCTGACTCCAGAAGTGGGGGCCCCATGGGCCCTGGATCTGGACCCAATCTGAGAACCGGTGGTCTCTTGACTCCTGGGAATGGCCCTTCCAATAGTAGGCCCATTGGCCTGGGCCCTGGACCAAGTCCCAATCTGAGATCAGGCTTCATGGGTACAAACCCTGCCCCAAGGTCGGGTATGTTTCCAGGCTCTGGCCTTGGGCCCAACCCAAGAGCAAGTGGTCTAGACCCAGGCCTTGGGCCCAACCCAAGGGCTGGTGGCCTGGGCCCAAGCCCTAACATGGACACCAGAGCAGGTGGCCTCTTGGGCACAGGATCTGGTCTAAACTTAAGAATGGCTGGACCTCAAAACCTAGATCTTGCCCCCATTCTAAGAGCAGCAGGTCTTTTAGGAGCAAATTCCTCCTCTTTCTCACAGGCTTCTGGAAACATGGGCACAAACCCATCTTCCATGGCAAGAGTACCTGGCTCCATAGGCCCAAACTTGGGTCCTGGCTCTCGGGGAATTGGCCTTTCAGGGCCAAATCCATCTCCCATGTCGAGGGCTCCTGGCCCCATGGGCCCTAATTCAGCTAATTTTTCAAGGCCGGCTGGCCCCATGGGGGTAAATGCTAATCCCTTTCCAAGGGGGACAGGTTCGGGGGCACTGAACTCAGCTGCCTTCTCTCAGTCTTCTGGAACATTGGCTTCAAATCCATCTAACTTTCAGAGGTCTGCTGGCTTCCAGGGTTCAAATCCAGCAATTTTCCCAAGAGCCTCTGGGCCACTAGGACCCAACCCAGCTAATTTCCCAAGAGCCCCTGGTTTGGGTCCAAATCCAACTACCTTCCCAAGGTCTACTGGCCCACTAGGCCCTGGTCAAGTTCCTTTCCCCAGGTCAGCTTCTGGGCCTCTGGGCTCTTCTGCAGCAGGCTCTGTGGGTATCAACCCAGCTCCTTTTGCAAGGCCAACTGGGAATCTGGGTCTAAACCCAGCTTCCTTTCCAAGGATGAATGGTCCTGTAATGAAGACTGTGGTCCCATTTCCTAGAGTGGGTAGTCTCCCTGGCACAAACGCAGCTGCTTTCCCCAGACCAGGGGGTCCAATGGCTGCAATGTACCCAAATGGAATGTTACCCCCTTAAACAGCGTTCTCTCTCCAGGACCACCTTGGTCTCCAGGCATCGTGGTTCTGGGCAGATGCTGTTTTAGGTAAAAGGGTAGTCATGGAGCTACAGTTGGACGTATATAGCTGGGCTCAAGTTCAAATGAGTCATCTTTTTTCAAACTCTGCTTCTTTCTTGATTAAAGGTGAAATGTTATTTGTGGGACATGGACTATGGCAGGTGGGAATGGTCCCAGCCTTGAGAGAAAGGATCTCTAGCCTTCCAGAATCCTGCTGTGCTTTTGTCCCACAGCTTTCCGCCCCTTGTTTCTTGCTAGTTTCTTGAATTGTTCTTGTGGACTTTTCCTCAGGGATACATTGACCTGCAGGTCCCAATTCATATGTAGTTCCCTGCTCACCACCGGAGACTCAGCTCACTGCTCTTGCAATGTTGCATTGGTAAACGGACCATGCTTCAGCAGCTCTGACCCGGGCAGCTTGGACCTGTCCTCCACTGCCATACCTTTCCCTGGGGGCCTGACACAGAACGGGGAGGTGGGCAGCCGCGTTCAAGACCCACCAAGTATAATTTCCACTTGACTGGCAGGTCTTGGAGTTTCCTTCTCTGGGACCTAGAGATGGCCAGAATCAAGGCTCCACTGTTCATCCGACTCCCTCTCCACTGGTACTCCCAATCAAAGAACCTCAAAATTTAAACTGATGTGGATGGGATAGGGGGAGGAGGGTGGGAAGGGTGGGGGTTGAAGGGAAGAAATCACTGTGCTTTGTTCAACCTGATGTGAAAGGATGGTTGGTGTTTTTCCTGCGTTGTATCTTTTCTTACTGTTTAATAAACGAGATGAGAGGGTTTCTGGTGTCGCTGTTTTGTTACCTGTTCCACAGGGAAGGAAGTTATCTCTGCTTTTCATGTTTTCAGCTTGGCCACAGTCCTGTATTATCTGACAGATAAAATACTTTCAGTCAAGAAAGAAGCAAGCTTGATTCTTAGCTTTAGCTCACTCCTCTGCCAGTAATTTCACCAAAGACCCCACCACCACCACCATAGTTAAGCCACCATAGGTGTACAGTTATCATCAAGGTAGGCTTACGGTATTCCCCAGGTTCAGAGGCAGCTGTGACAGCTCATCCTGCTTCTGAGTGACACTCAAATTACTGAAACTATTTCTAGCTCAAGTGCAACTTTTGAAAGTGGGATAAAGAGCGTTCATTGAGTACAATAAGGGAGGAAGTAGCTCAGAGACAGCAGTATGAGAGAATCTTTATTTTGACAAATATGTGCATTATAAAAAATTTGACCTGAAAAGTTAAAAAAAGCAGGTAAAAATAAATAGTTTACAAATTATTGTAGAAATAATACAAAAAAGACAGTTAAAATTTTCAATGAGGAAAAACCAAAATGCGTCCAATTGTATAAAGGCTCTTCCCTTGCCAGGAACAGGGATAAAGCTGAAGACCCAGTTTGGTTTCACTGCTGAAAAACGTACAAAATAACTTAGAAAAGCCAGTCGAGGTCAAATGTTGTGAGCCCACTACTTTTGATACGAGGAAAGTCGATAACAATGCGAGGCAGAGCTGATGGTAGGACAGCCTGATGGTTTTTCCATCTGGGAGCCCATCCAATGTTACCCTTCGAGTGAAAGCTGAAGAAAAACAGCCCTTAGTGAAGTCTGAGCTCTGCAGTTGGCTGACCGGATTTCCTCCCTTGTGGTGCTCAAAATAGTTTACTTCTTGGCCAGCAAAAACACGGAAGAGTCGGAACAACTGCCTTCGGCAGATGGCTGCTGCCTCTTCTGAGAGCCTTCATGGGCTGGGCCCAGCGTCACCCAGCACTCTTAGCAGAAACTTGAGGTCTGTGTGATGCAGCCGTGTTGGCTGCACTTGGAAAACCCTTGAGTTCGTGGGAGTTGAAGGAAAGCACCAGGGTTTGCCAATCTGTGACTCGACACACTGTTCCTTTGTAGGAAGCACCTAGGTATGCTACAGGCTTGCACCTCCACTCCTCTACCTCAGTGCTCATTCTGAAGGGTTGGTTGGACCCTCTGAAAAAGGACATTTGGAGACAGCACACATGAGCAAGCAACCCCTAAGTCAGAGGCTTAGTCAAGATCCAGGTTTCAAACCCAAGAGCTAAGAACAGTCTGTGGACTGCCTATCTCTAGAAAATGGTTTCCCTCCTTCCCCACCAAAAGCAGAAGGAAATAAAGCTGCCTCAAATGAAATGAGAAAGCAAGAACCTTAGGATTTAGGAATCAATTCCATCTCCTCGTTTGGTTTCTGGAAAGAAGCAAATGTAGTCGTCACTATCCACAGCTTGTCTGTAAGAATTCCCTGGAGAAGCCACTGAGGAGAATGGACAGTCTCAGAGATGACCAGCTTGGATTTGAGGGTTCACTTAGGGGACACGGAAAAGCTTTCCATTAGAGACGATTGTCAAGAATTGTAGCCTGGCCCTGGCTGGCTTCGCTCAGTGGATAGAGCGTCGGCCTGCGGACTGAAAGGTCCCAGGTTTGATTCCAGTCAAGGGCACATGCCCTCGTCTTGGGCTCCATCCCCAGTAAGGGGCCTGCGGGAGGCAGCCAATCAATGATTCTCATCATTGATGTTTCTATCTCTCCTTCTCCCTTCCTTTCTGAAATCAATAAAAATGTATTTTTAAAAAAGAAAAGAATTGTAGCCTGAAAGTCATGCATGCTACCCAGCTGCCTAGGAATCATCCCAAGCAGTTCCAAGATGGCAGCCAATTTGGTCAGAGGCTCCTACTAGGTTTCCCCCATGTGCTGGGGGCAGGCTTGCCTGTTACAGAGGAGCCTGTGAGAGTCCAGGTGCTGACTCCCTTGCCACCTTGTGAAATTTGCCCAATGAGGAGGAGGGCAAAGAGGTGACATCACCTGCAAATCAGTGAGGTAGCCATCTTGGGACTCGGCTGAATTTAAGAGGACTTCATGAGTACACAGGTTGAAATACTGAGCCCTCACTTCCTTTCTTAGTATGTTGGGGTTTAAATCTCCCTGGTAGATGACTGAAACATTTTCTCTCCTCAGCAGACAAGCACATCTAGATGTCTAGGCCAGTGGTCGGCAAACCGCGGCTTGCGAGCCACATGCGGCTCTTTGGCCCCTTGAGTGTGGCTCTTCCACAAAATACCACGTACAGTGCCACTGAAACTTCATGGCCCATGCGCAGAAGTCGGCTTTCGGCCTGGGCGAGTCTGTTTTGAAGAAGTGGTTCTAACGCCGAGCCACATTCAAGGAGCCAAAGAGCCGCATGTGGCTCGTGAGCCGCGGTTTGCCCACCACTGATCTAGGCAGTTTCCAGGTAGAATATATATATATATATATATATATATATATATATATATATATATATATGTATATATATATATAGACCTCCATATAGCCCATAGCTTTGAGCACCACTACCAACCTTTGTTCCTCCTGTCAAGTTTTCCTTTTTTAACATTCACATCTATGTATATTTAAAGCAGTTCAATGCTAACTCCCTGCTAGTTTGGCTCATCCTTGGGATGTGGAGATGTGGAATGGGGTACACATAATACAGCACCATTCCTGTACCCTGTTTTCTGATGCCCAGAGATCAGGCTTCCGGGCCTTGTAACTCAGGCACCCATCTTATTGCATCGATAACTAGATTGAGGGGGGAGACATTGCTAGCTGGCCCAGATCTCAAATTCTACCTCCACCTCTGGTTGTGTTCAAATGGGCTAAGAGAACCCCCTTCCCACAGCTGGCTTTGCTCACGTACCTGTCAGAAGTTGCTATGGTTGGAACTGACTGATGTAACACACTTCTGAGTTCCCTCTGGACCCTGGGGCCGGAGTGGGATTGTTCCATCGCGTAGCAGCCAGGCAGCCTGAGAACATGTCTCCTCTACCACCCTGAGCTGGAGTTGGTATTGCCTTCCCTAAGCAGAACAGCCCTGGGCCACACTACAGTCACCCCTCTTTGCACTTCAGATTCGTCCTTTGGACCGTTAAGAAACTCAAACAGCGTTTCCCTCCTCCCTCCCACCCCATCTTTTCTCCTCCATCCCCCTTCCCTCCCTCACCCATTGCACTTTTCCGGCTCTGCTTGAGGGCTATGTCACACCTCAGCAAAAGCTAAGCTGTACTGCTCTGGCTTCTTCCCGCACCGCCGGGCGATGATGGCCAGGTACAGCATGAGGAGGGCCACCCAGTAGCAGCCATACAGGATGGCTCCGGAGACGAGGAAGGCTAGCTCCGTCTCACTGAACAGATCCTGGCAATAGGCGGTGTACGCCAGGCCTCCCAGGAGGACTGCCACCCAGATGGACACGGGGATGAGGCCAATGAAGTTCACCACGATGGTTTTTCGGCCGGAGGTGCCCCAGCCGGATTTGTTGATGGTAGCAATGGCGAAGATCTTGGCTGGCAGGAGGCTGGACATGTAGAGGAGGGAGTACAGGGACATGAAGATCATCTCTGCGTTGCCCCGAAGGAAGCAGGCGTAGGTGGCCTTGATGATGCCCACCAGCTGCACCGTCAGCAGGAAGAGGAGAATGTTCCAGATGCGGCCGCGGTAGAAGAGCTGGATGACCGTGGCTATGAGGAAGAAGGGGAAGAAACCGGTGACCACGGACTCGTAGGTCATCCAGAGGTGGTGCTTATGGAACCACAGGGAGTTGTACAGCCACTCCCGGAAGTAAGACTTGCTCCAGCGGGTTTGCTGGTTGAGCCACCGGAGGTACTTGGTGGGGGTTTCCGTGAGGCACTTGGAACGCGCTGTGTATTTAGTCCTGTAGCCCAGGCTCAGGACTCGGTTGGTGAGGTGCCGGTCATCCCCAAAGCTGCACTTGCTGCCTAGGAACTTCTGATGGTACCAATCTTCCAGGAACTGCTGGAGGAGGCTGTTGCGGTACATGCCCAGCGGCCCGCTGATGCACTGCACGCAGCCAAAGTAGGACTGGCAGGCCCGCTCCACGTTGAAGGCCATCCAGTACCGCACGCTGCTCAGGAAGGAGATCCATGAGTCGTACTTGTTGAGGATCTGCAAGGGAACCGTACATGCTGGGCCTCCACACCCGAGACCGTGAGACCCGGGAGGCACACACCGGAGACCAGGACGCCTCCCTACCCTGAGTTCCTAGCCCACTGCTCACATTCCCCGGCCATCAGTCCCAGCCCGATGGCTGGGAAACCCGAGGCTCAGAGGAGCCAACCACACTCTCTCCCCCCAGCACCAGCCCCAACTCTCCCCTGTGCCGCCTGCATGGATTGTTCCAGGACGTTACTCTAGCAGACAAAGCCACCTGCGGTCTCAGGCGGCGGCCTGAGGCAGCGATAGAGAGAAGGCCCTGAGAAAGATGCGAAGCAACACCCAGTCACCTGTCCTGACCCTTCGGATACGAGCGGTACCCTCTGGAAGAAGCTACAGCCCTTATTCTGACCACGCTGCCCAGAGCTCCTCCGAGCAATTAACCCTAGAACAAAGGTTTCTCAAGGGTCTAACTTGAGAGGTGCTTGCTGTGTTGCCAAATAGGAAGCACCTTGCAGGACCAATGGGCTCAGAATGCTGTGCCCCCAACGGGCTCAGAATGCTGTGCCCCCAACGGGCTCAGAACGCTGTGCCCCTCCCGGCAACATAGGCTCTCTCCATACCCGGTAAGTAACTTTCTCCCCTCGGGTTTCAAAAGGGCAGGAAAGGAGCGGAAGCTGAATAGCAAGTGAACCATTTGAAAGTGTCAAAAAGGAATATTCCTCTACCCCCGAAAGTACTAGGAAGCCAAGAGGCCCACTTCCCAGACATCTGATTGGCTTAGGAAGCTAAGAGATCCAGCCCCCACCCCCAGGAATCCTTAGTTACTTCTTACCTGGACATCACCCCCAACGCCTCCTACTTGGGGGTCCTCCTCTAGGACTCGAAGCATCTCGATGGTGCAGGCTGGGTCCAGGACAGTGTCCGAGTCACACACCTGCAGAGGAAATGCACTGTTAGCCCATTCTGACCCCAGTCCGCTCACAGCCCCCTCTCATATGGTTCGCTTCTGGCCACAAACGGAAGGGGTGAGAGGAGTAACAAAGGCAAGTAAGGAAGAGAAGAGCTCGGATACCGGGCTTGACAACCACTAGCGGAGAGAGAAACCCAGGCGTCTGTCTATGCTGGACCTGGAAAGGGAGGAAGGCTTTGTACTGGACTAGTCTTTAGCCTCTAGGAAGCCAGGCTCCTGAGAATGCAAGTGCAGGCACAGTGCCCAGACCAAGGCCAGCAGACACACCTCAGAAGGCCAAGCTCTTGCCAGAGGCTGTTGCCCAAAACTATCCCATGAGAATTTTAACAACAAGGTCTTTCCTGTTTCAGCTTCTGGCCTCCGGATGATCCACAGCCCAAGTGGGTGATGTATCTACCAATCACACCTCCTCTCCCGCCCCAACGTGGCTGCCAAGCCTTCAGAACTGCCTTGGCCTCAGATTGGGGCACAGGATGGCCAAAGGCTGCTCTCACCTGGAATATACTCTGGACGGGCATGGAGAATCTGGTAGCAGCTGCCTTCAAATCCTGCCCCCTTGCCTTCCTTTCGTGGGAGGCTCATGGTCTGATTCTGACAGGTAGCCCCATTAGTTGAATCTGGGCTATGAACACTTACCCTGGCGGCTGACCCCTTGTGTGTTTTCTATAAAATTACTGAGATGGCACAAAGAGCCCAGATAAATATGGGGCAAGGGACTTGGTTTTCTGACCTCTGAAGGAGCCAAGAACAGTACCCATAGATGAGCCCAAACCCGGTTCTGCAAAAGCCCCAAATGCTTTAATAAAGGTCCCGAGTGAAAGCCATTCGCCTGTAGGAAGGGGGAGGCCCCCCAAGCTCCAACCTACCCAATGCTCCCTCTCCATGTTGGAAGACACGGTGGCCACAAGCAGCAGAAGGCTGAGGGGGAACCAGGCGGAGCATCATACCTGCTCCCTCCTACCTCCTTCCTGACACAGTCTTACATTCTGGGCCAGGCTGGGAAGGTCCCAAGGAGCCTCGGCCAAACTCCCAGAGCCTCCTCAGCTTGCAGACCAAGCTTCCCAGTGGCTCATGGCCACTTCCTCCCCTGACCCTCCCACATTCTTCACCGCAGGAAGGCCTTCTAGCTGAGCGGGGCTGGAGAGGTCAGAGCTCTGTGCTTCACCACTGCCCGGGGCAGGGTTACCTCCCACAGCGGCAAAGACATGCCCTCAGCAAGGCTGATGGAGGACAGGCTGCCCAGGCTGCCCAAGGCAGTGATCCCGGAGCCCTGCCGGGAAAGTGTGGCTCAGGCACTCCACCAGGACACACAGGAAATTCTCGGGAAAGGAAGATGGGTAGCAGAGCAGGTTTGGGGGGAGGAGGGATCCTGTGCTTCAAGGGAGTAAATGACAAAGTCACTGTCGCTCGCGCATGAGCCAGGGCTGAGGGTTTTTGCTGACCCTTCTGAGCCCCCAGGGAAGTTTCAGAGGTCCTTTCACCCTAGATGAAGGGCAGAGTTAAGACTGCCTCCCATCCCCCTCAACAAGGCTGAGGAGGAGGTCCGTGGGCCTAGGAACACCGAAAAAGATAAATATATATAACTTAAAAAAAAAAACACCCCAAACAAACAAAAATCTATGGAAAGCTAAATTTAGGTGGGAACAGTATAGAAAATTTAAATATTAGAGTACTTAATTCAGTACTAATACTGAGTTAGTGCACAGGTGGGCCACCACAGCAGCCACTACACATTCCATTGGATGGACAAAACCTTCTGCAGGATCAGAGAAGGGAAGAAACAGGGGAATGGACAGCATGGATGCTGGACCAGAAATGTGGGGTCCTGGGTATCAGTTTTGACTTGTTACTGAAATGTGTGAGTCTCTAATCAGTTCTCTCTAGGTTTTGTTATTTGAAAACTGGAGCCATTCAACCTTGTCCATCTAATAAAATTTTCAGGCTGGTGTCAGTGACCCCTTTGGCTGGAAGCTAGGCAGGGTCTGTTCAGGGTTCTGCTGGGTTTGCACTTGTGTCCCTCTACCTAACACAGACACAAATTTGACACGGAGAAGGTAGGACTTGTTGGTCCATAACTAAAACAATATTTGAGTGTTTTCAAGCATGATGTCTTTTGCTCTTCACCACTTTTTTTTTTTTTAAGATTATGTTATTTTTTTAAATATATTTTTACTGGTTTCAGAAAGGAAGGGAGAGGGAGAAATTGAAACATCAGTAATGAGACACAATCATTGATCAACTGCCTCCTATACACCTCCGACTAGGGATCAAGCCCACATGTGCCCTTGGCCGGAATCGAACCTGGGACCCCTCAGTCTGCAGGCCGATGCTCTATTCATTGAGCAAAACCAGCTAGGGCCACCACACTTTTTAAAAAATTTGATTTCAGGGAGAAGGAGAAAGAGAGAAACATGGCTATGAAGGCAGAACATCGATCGGCTACTTCCTACATGCTGCCTCCTGGGAATCAAGCCTGAAACCTGGGCACTTGTCCCAACCAGGAATCGAACCAGTAATCTCTAAATCACTGAGCCATACTGGGCGGGATCTTCACCATACTCCTTATGAAGGGCTCATCCCCATGGCGCCAGTGATGAGGCAGTATTGCACAGTGAATAAGAGCAGATGTGAGCCCTAACTGGTTTGGCTCAGTGGATAGAGCATCGGCCTGCAGACTGAAGGTCCCAAGTTCGATTCCAGTCAAGGGCATGTACCTTGGCTGCGGGCACCTCCTCAGTAGGGGTTGTGCAGGAGACAGCTGATCAACGTTTCTCTCATGGATGTTTCTAACTCTTCCTTTTCCCTTCCTCTCTGTAAAATAATAATAATCATAAAAATTAGTAGATGCCAACTACTGAGTGACCTGAGGCAAGTTACTTGGCCTCTCTGTGCTTCAGGTTCGCCTTCTATGAGAGAAGGTAATAATAGTTCTTATCCCCTAGGAGCATTCTGAGGATTAAAAGAGTTAATATGTATGAAAAGCGTACACTAGTGCCTGGTAAAAAGTAAATGCTACCGTGTTTCCCCGAAAATAAGACATCCTCCGGAAAATAAGACCTAGCGCATGGAAAGATAAGACATCCCCTGAAAATAAGACCTAGCGCAACTTTGGGAGAAAAAAATTAATATAAGACCCTGTCTTATTTTCGGGGAAACAGGGTATATATCTGTTTCCTATTTCCGTTTTCGGAACACAGTTCACAAAGTTAAGTAACAGCAGAACCGGGATTCCATCCAGGTCTCTCTGCCCCCAGGACTGCTGTTCAGACCAGCCTGCCTATCGTATTCTCTAGCGCAGAGGAGGATGTGCACCGCACAGGGCATGCACTCTGGGCTCGGCCCTCCCGGAGGGGGGGTGCCCGGCTGGCTGGCTGGCCACGTCCGCACGCGGCCGGGAGGCACGCTTACCTGGATGTAGTCCACCGAGTCGCCGAGGGCCTTGAACGCCGTGTACATGACCTCCCGCTTGCCTCCCCACTTCTGCATGATGCAGGAGTAGGTGCTGGCCCGCACCACGTCCCGCACGCGCTCCATGCCCGCCTGCAGGCTGGCCTCCGTCTCGCCCTCGCCCGCCTCGTGGAAGTTGCTGTGCCACACGAAGAAGCCCGCCTGCTCGGGGCCGCCCAGCACCTCGTGGAAGATGTCCAGCATGTAGGCGTCCTCCTGCCGGTTGCCGTCCACCACCATGACCACCTTGAGGCTGGGGAAGGCGATGCGCTGGGCGGAGCGCAGGCACTTGCGCAGGTAGTCGGGGTCCTCCTGGTAGGCGGCGATGCAGAGCGCCACGGAGCGCCGCGGCCGGGCGGGCAGCTTCAGGGGCCGGGCCGCCCGCCGCATGTGCCGGTGCTCCAGGAAGGCGAACAGGCTCTGCGTGAGCAGGTGCAGGCCCAGGATGGCGCCGTACAGGCCGAAGGACAGGTAGTGCTTCTCCGTGTGGATGAACTGGTAGCCCGTCACGTACGCGGCCAGGATGCCGCCGAGCACTGCCAGGGCGAACAGGCTGGTGCCCACCACTCGCAGGGCTGTGGTCAGCTGCACCGGCATCTGGCGGGGGGAGGAGGGAGAGGGGGGGTCAGGCGGGAGGCAGCATCCCCAGACTCAGCGGGAAAGGAGGCGTTCTCTCTGGGCCTGGCCCAGAACAGGGTAGATGACCCGGTAACAAACACCATTTCCGCTGAGCATGACTACGAACACTAGGGGTCAAATCCCAGCCCCGGCGCTATCTGTGTGACTATCTTTTTTTTTCTTTTCTTTTTTTTAATATATTTTATTGATTTTTCACAGAGAGGAAGAGAGGGGGATAGATAGAAACATCGATGAGAGAGAATCATCGATCAGCTGCCTCTTGCACACCCCCTACTGGGAATGTGCCCGCAAACTCAGGTACATGCCCTTGACCGGAATCGAACCCGGGACCTTTCAGTCCGCAGGCCGACGCTCTATCCACCGAGCCAAACCGGTCCCGGCAAGTGTGACTATCTTTTGTCCCTTAGTTAATTCCCCTGTAAGATGTGGGTTGTAGCACTAATCTCCTAGCCTCTTTGAGGTTTCTTTCTTATAAAATATATTTTATTGATTTTGCCCAGGGAGGAATTGAGAGGGATAGAGAGTTAGAAACATTGACCAGCTGCCTCCTGCACACCCCTCACTGGGGATACGGGCCGCAACCAAGGTACGTGCCCTCGACCAGAATCGAACCCGGGACCTTTCAGTCGGCAGGCCGACGCTCTATCCACTGAGCCAAACCGGTTTCGGCTTCTTTGGGGTTTAAATAGGTTACAGAGGGAAAGCACTTAAAGCGGCATTATTACTGTTTATTGTCAGACAAACCAAAGCTGAAGAGAGCTACCTAGCTAGAGGGTGACAGAATTGGATCTGCCTGACCCAAAACTCTGCAAGGCAAACCTCAGCAGGGGTGAGCCTGAGGCACTTCTGAGCACGTGGGGGAAGGGGGGGAATAGGGAGGAGGATGGAGGATGAACCAGGAGGCAGCCGGTGGCCCCAGCTCCTACCTGCACCGTAACCTCTAGGGACTGCACTCTGGGAGGGGACTGTGCTCCAGGAAAGCTCAGCCACCAGTGAGGCCCGGGAAGAAGGGCCCTGTCGGGTGCTCGGATGGTTGGCACAGTATCCAGTCTACCAGAAGGTGTGGGTTCCATTCCCGGTCAGAGTACATGCCTGGGCTGCGGGTTCGATCACTAGTGGGGGCACATACGGGGGAGGAGGGCAGCAGATCAATGTTTCTCTCCCTTCCTCTTTCTAGATCAATAGGAACATATCCTCAGGGAAGGATTTAAAAAAAAAAAAAAAAGAAAGAAAGAAAGGAAAGGGGGGGAAGAGAGAAGAAACAGCAGGAAACATAAAGAGATGGGGAGAGAGGAAGGAAACAGCTTTCCCTTCTCCAAACAGCACAACCAGTAAGAGAAAGTTTCCCTGTGTTCTCTCCTTTCTCATCTTTTCCTTTACAAGAGAGCCGGGAAAGAAAGGGAAAGCAACTGGGAAAGGCAGACGCGGGAGAGGGAGGGAAAGGAGGCCCGGGGTGTGGACCGCTCTCCCGAAGGGAACTGCCGCCGCACTGCAGCCCTGGGAGGGTGGCTGCCCGGAAGCCCATCAGCCCGGTCCTAGTGCCCGCACAGAGCCTTTGTGCTCGGCCCGGCCGGCCGCTCCTGCGGACGCTGCTCGCGTGCAGCAGTCAGGGCTCCCGCCTCTGTGCTGTGGGAAACAGCGGTGTCCCAAGGACAAGCGCCCAGGACTGGAAAGACCCCGCAAGACCTGAGCTTAAGACGGGGCTCTACCACCCCCTGGCTGCCTGACCTTGCCAAGTTCTCTAACTTGGTATCTCCCCCACCTATTGGGGTTCTAATGGTTTCTTGCTCCATAGGTAAATCATTTCCTGAAAAATGGAAGCACTTCCAGCTAGGAGAGGCTACCTGAGCAGGAAGGCTGACTGTAGGGGCAGGGTGGGGGGTGGGGGGCGGGGGGGGGATGCCTGATCTGAGGAATCCCCCTTCCCACCCCACCCACCCTCTACAGACAATGAGGTCTCACTTCCAAGCTTGCTCCAACTCTAGGTGTTAACTGAAGCCATCCCCGAGCCACACCCCAACGCCAATATGCCTTCTTGCCACGGGAACACTGGGTCGCTACCTAAAACCGGCCCGCGATGCGGGCGCCAGCACCACCACCCAGCAGCTTCAGTCCGGAAAGTGCTGTTGGCAGCCGCGCCGCCTCTCCGGGAAGCGCGGCGGCGTCCAGGCGCTCTGCCCCGCCATCCCGAGGAGCCTGCCTGCCGCGTGCTTCCTCTGCAGGCTCCCAGGTCCCACCCCACCCCCTCCTGGCATGCTCCTGGCATGCTCCAGAGCCCCAGACCCTGCCGCCCACGGCCCAGGAGGTGGCATGCCGAGGGGGCGCTGCGGGCACTGCTGCCCACCCACGATCTGGGGAGAGGCAGAGAGAGGGCTCGGAGGCCACCCACCCCGCACCTGCCGCTCGGTCTCGGCCGCTGGCGCGCCGCCTCGGTGCAGAGCTGCAGGCGGTGCCACCAGGTTAACGCCGCCGCCGGGAAGGCTCGCGCTCGGCGGCTTCCCGCCTCCCCTTCTGGGGAAGGCGGCGCCGGCCACACCCACGTGCCGGCTTCCCGGGACCCCGCAAGGGAAAAACCCAAGGAAAACCAGGTCCCATTCCTCTATCTCCCCGGGCCCCGGCCGCCGTGGCAAAGTGTGGCTGCAGACAAAGGCGGCATCCCCTTCCCCGGGCGGGACCCCCGCGCCCGGCGCAGGCATCGGAGGCACCACCCCGGCGCCTCCCACCCCTTTGAAGACCGGGATCCTGCGGTCCGCGACCTCACGGACAATCGGACGCCGGTGTGTGGGCTCCGGCTGAGGTGCCCCTGCCCAGATGGGGGGAGGGCGGAGGCCGTGTCCCCTCAAACCCAGCGGAGGGGAGCCCAGGCCGCCTCTTGTCCTTGCACGTTCCCCCTCCCCCCTTAGCGCATTCGGCTTCAAGGACACGGGGGTTCGGGGACGATCCCCAAGACCGACCGACCCCCACCCCCGGCCGATAGAAGGAGCAAACCTCAACCAAGGGCGCACCCCGCCCATCTGCCCCCCGAAACTTTGCGGGGCTGCCCGGGCCGCAGCCTCTCGGGCTGACAGGTGTGCCCGCGGCGGGGCCGCACGCGGCGGGACGGAAACTTGTGCGCGGGGCGGGGGCTCGGTCCCCGGCCCCCCGGAGCCGCCGGAGAAGGGAGCCCAGGCCGGGGCCCAGCGGAGCCGCGGGAGCCCGGGCGCCGAACGGCTCGGGGCAGGGACAGGTGCGAGCCCGCGGGTGGGAAGGGGGTGGGGGAGGGAGAGGCTCCCGCCAGCCTCGTGCCCCGCACCGCCGTCCGCCCCCTAATCCTTCCACAACCCCGGAGCCGCCGGAGGCAGGGAGGAGAGGCCGGAGGAGGAGGAGAGGATGGAGGAAGAAAGGGAGGAGGGGGCGGTGGGGAGGGGGCTGCGGGACCGCCGCCGGGAAGCCGGGAGATGCCGCAGCGCTCAGCCCGCCTCCCGGCTCGGGACGCGGCGCCCGCACGCGCATCGGAGGGAGCCGGGGGGACCCGGGGGCGCCCACGGGGCCCCGGGGGAGCCGGGCGCGCCCTAACCCTCCGCCGCGGAGCCCGGGCCCGCTCACCGTGCCGCCGGCCGCCCGCGCTCCGTGCTCTCAGGCCCGCGGCAGCCCCATGCCCCGCCTCCCGCCTCCCTCCTCGCCGCCGCGCCGCGCGCTCCGACTGGCGAGCCGGCCCCGCCGAGGCGCCTTAAGTACCGAGCGCGTCCCCGCGGGAGAGGCGCCCGCCCCCGGCCCCGCGCCGGAAAGTTGGGAAGAGTGGGAGGGCCCCCCGAGGCCGCCAGGGAGCACCCCAGCCCGGCTCCGGCGGAGGCAGCTCCACGCGGCCGGCGCGGGGCGGGACGCCGGGTCCCGCGTGGACGCCGCGCCTCCGCTTTGCAGAGATCCGCAGCCTCTGCGCCTTCTAAAAGCGGGGTCCCCTCCTCCCCCAAATCCACCAAAAAGCCCAGCTTCCCCGCGCTCGGCTGGGCTACAGCGAGCTGCCCAGGGGAAGCGATCATTGCGCTCAACCTAGAAGCTGAGCGGCAACTTGCAGGGAACGCGCTTTGTAAGCCTGGAGGTGGACTCACCCTGGCAGCCGGTGGAAACGTCCCCCCGACTTCTGGTGCTCCCCAAGACCAAGGCAGCGGGACCTCCCTGCCGGCAAAATAGAGAAATAAAAATGAATAAATGAAAGGCGCAGAGGCGTATAATTGTCAAATGGTCCAAGAAGGTGTTAACCATTGTGACCAGCTTAGCTCTGAATTCCGCAGTGGGGCGCTAATGACTTTCAGGTTGTTCGCAAAAGATGCAACTAGCCTTGTAAAAACCTCCAAGTTTCAGAGTCTTAAAGCCAAAACCCATTCATCCTCCTCCCCCCCAGTTATTCCCGACATCCACGACCTTTTAAGTTCCCAACTGACCTTATCTCAGGGGCGGGCGTGGGGAGAGGGGCTTCCAGGTCCCTAAAATCTGGTGCTAGACTTGGGTGAGGTGGGGTGGGGCTGGGGAGAGGTAGGGAGTTGTTAGCTGAGGAAGTTTAGAACCAGCTGAACACACTGAGTTTCTCAATCTCCGAACAACTGGAGGAATTAACAATGAAAGACTAGGAGAAAGGAAAGGTAGGTGTCCTTCAAGCACACCTGAGGTAAGTTTCCGTTTCTTTCCCAACTGCCTCAGACTTACAGGAACCTGAGCTGCCTCCAAGCTGCTCCTGTCAGAAGTGCTAAGGACCCAGGGGCGTATTTGCCTGCCCAAGGGCACTCACTCTGGGCCAGAGCTGACTCCTCAGTTGCCCAGGCAAGCAAAGGCCCCTGGCACACCTACCCCACCCACTCCCAGCTTGCATTATAGATATCAAATCACTCTATGCTTTTGCTTGAAAAAAACCATCCCTAATGTGATACATCACTTACATATCCTTTATGATGTGCTTTTAAAAACTAGTGCTGAATACATAC